TTGGCAATACTGTAAATATTTACTTCTTCAGATCTTCTGGCATCTCTCCAGTGTTGTATTATACTAGATAGTCACATACAAATAAAAGAACTATGAGGGATAAGGACGATGGATGTTCGATGGGGAAAAAAAGTACGTATATTTTTAAAATTATTCATAAGTGTATTAGAAAGATGAGACATTTTTAAAGAATACATAGAAAGAGTGAGAGAGAGAGAGAGAGAGAGAGAGAGAGAGAGAGAGAGAGAGAGAGAGAGAGAGAGAGAGAGAGAGAGACGAGACTGGTATATCGTTGCACCTGAAACAAGCGCATAATACATGTATATGGATATGGGGGCTCTCATGGTCTAGGGGTTACGGTGTTTGCCTCTCATTCAGTGGGTCGCGGTTTCGAAACCTGACAGCGACGTGACATTTTCTTTTCTAAAATGCTCTCCATTCATCTCCTTTCCTGCTCTCTAACCATGTGTTCTGTTGTCTGTTTGTCTTCACCCCCACCCTTACCCCTTTGCCACCTCCTTTGGGACCCTGACTCTTTCTGCAGCCTTTGTACTGCTACTCCTTGAGTCCCTTTTAATGCCTGCTGCCTTTCAGCCACATCTCCGATCTTAGGGTAGGTAAGATCAAACACCTTGCATTTGCGGGTAAGGGCGAAAAATCCTGGAGGTCCCGTGTGCAAGTTGCACAAGTTAAAGATCCCTTAGTGGCCCAAAATCGATAAGAGTAGGCTTCGGCCGCCACCCGGGCAAAAATAAAATTAATTCCTACCAAACTGAAAATGTTTAATTTTAATGTGTTCCGTGAGCTCATGACCTTATGCAGTTGCGAACGCCACAAAACCCTTACTAAAACAAACAAAGCAATACATAATATGAATGTTCATTCCGATTGAAGCGTCATCGCAGATGGAAGGGAACTTCTTCTGTATCTTTCTTTGTTGATTCTTGGCGGTATGTATCTACCACTGCATAACCTTAAAATTTCTCTTTCTCCCTTCTCTTATATTATCTCTTTATCTCCCTCGGATCTGATCTCTCTTTTTCGATCTTTCTTTGACTCCAAATTGTCGCGTTCTCCTGTGATGTTGGACTTACTTTTTCAACACAATTCATCTCCCTTCGCCCTCTTATCTTTCTTCTCTTCCTCACTCCCCATCTCTCTCTCTCTCTCTCTTTCTCTCTCTCTCTCTCTCTCTCTCTCTTTCCCTCTCTCTCTCTCTCTCTCTCTCCC